TCTCTCTCTCTCTCTCTCTCTCTCTCTCTCTCTCTCTCTCTCTCTCTCTCTCTATCTCGCGCGCACGCAGCCCGTTTCCCCATGCGCTCGCTTCCCCCCTAAGAAACGGAATGAACCTGAAGCACTATTGCGACCAGGTGCAACTGCTGATCCACCTTTCTCCCCGCGCGCAGCTAAGGTGAGCTCACGCAGCTCCTCCCGTTCGTGCGCAAAAGTACGATCTCTCCCTCTCCCTATCTTCTCCTACTCTCTCTCTCTTCTTCCCCCTCTGCGTTGCAGCTCCTCCTCTCTTCGCGCAGCTCTGCTGCTTTGCGCAACTTCCTCTCTCTCTCTCTCTCTCTCGCTCTCTCCATTCCCACTCGGTGCACACGAATCTCGTCCACCCTGAGGGCCAGGTTCACGCACACCCCTCAAGCTCTTCCTGCGCGTCAACCTCGGCTAACGATGTCCTGGTTCCGGTCCGGTATGCGAGAGACCAGCACACCTCCCTCCCTAGCCAGTGCGCCAGTCCCCCCAAACCCCCCCCTGCTGGTGTAGCCCTCGTGCACCTCAGGTGCACCACTGTACCTGTTCGCTCATGCCTTCCAAACGTTCCCCCGTCCAGGAACCAGTGCGCGAGGGGCCAGCACACTCCCGTAGGCCAGCCTGTGCGCCCTTCCCGTGTGCAAGTGAGAGTCCCGCCTTCCTTGGGGCCCGGTTGGGCCCAACGCGGCGTGACTTCAGTGCCTCGGTGTGTCGAGGCTCCGGGAATGTTGCAGCGCCCCAGGACCAAGCCTCCCCCGAGCCTGTACCCGGGCCCGTTTGGGCCTCTGAAAGGTTTCCAACGAAGGGAGCCTTTTCGTCGGGTACTGGGCTTTTTGCAGCGCCTCGGTACCGAAGCTCCTTCCAAACCTAAGCCCGGCCTAATACATGGTCCCCACCCACAAGTGGTAATGGCCTCCGTAGATAACGCCGTAGGCCCCCCTTCGAAATCCTAGGCCGACGGGTCCATTCCTGGGCCTTAGCCATGAGCCTCCTTTCGGTAGCGCCGAGCCCCCCCCAAAAAGCCGGTTCCCACCTTCCATCTATGCAGGGTGTTTCCGTAATTCGATCGCTCGCGGTAACTTCGGAGGTTGCCACTGGTCGAGATGCCTGAGGCCTTGCGTTAAGTGCCCGGCGCCCCTTTTCCCCCGGCTTTATACCGACCTTTAGAGCAAGCCTGGTCCCCGGCGGTCGTGCCTTTCGTCCCGAACCCTCGGGAACCTCCTTCGCTGTGGTAGTCTCTTTACGTCCGTCGGCGACTTACGTCCGCGCCCACTTCACAAAAGTATCGGCTTTTAATGCTCGTGCCCCACCCAGACTGAGTGTCGTGGCCCGACCACTCGCGCGGTCGATCCGTTGGCGAATTTTCCCATGACCCGCCGAGTTTCTGTCAGGTCAAAACTATTAAATAGTGTCTTTGTCGCGCGCCCTTGTAAAGGAAGTAAAGGGCGGCGTAAGGCTTGAGCCGCCCTTCAGCAGCCCCCCCCCCATTCTCGACGTCCCCGGCGAGCGACCTCGGAGTATCGTCTGATTATCGAGAAGGAAAAATTTAATCGGTTGATACCTAATCTGTACCCGATCAACCCCAAGAGACATATTCCTCTCATAATTTTATTTCTTCCTTTCGATTTTCCTACCTCTTTTTCCACCTTCGTTTTTTTTTGCTTTCCGCTTTTTATCCCTGGCTTGTCCTCTTGACCACTCCCACATTACCAGACTCCAGCAGACTTTGATTTTGTCTCGCCACTTGTGGAAGTAGGGTCTACCCCCGCTTTTACGCTTACTAATCGACTTTATCAGTCTGATAAATGGTATACTTCCCTCCTCTTTCAATGTCAGGTTTTTGAACCTTTTAGGTCCAGCATCCTCGTTCTCGAGCGCTTTTGTCCTCTTCCCATCTCGTCTCCACCCACTCAATGAGAGCATCAAGGGAGTATAGAAAGGCTTCGCAGAAAAAGCCCCGCACGACAGGCTTAGACGGATCCATATCCCCACCAAGGAGTGTAATCCCCCCTTTATACCACCACCGAGGCCGAACACAAAGGGGCAACTAGTTATGAAAGTGTCGTGAACTGATTGGCCGAGGCAAGAGCAACAGCACCAGCCATAGTATGCACGAGTATACGCAGAGACAAGGGTCAGCAGCAAGAGGGAAAGCAAGTCTACATTCCAATCTCACTTCTCAACCACAATTCCCGAACCTGCTACCGAATTTCCAGTTCCGACCAAGCCCCTATCCTCGAATCTCCTCACATCCACAGGGGGTTTCTCCGCTTCCAATAACTCCTCAAGTCCTGACATTTTCATAATTCTCATCGACATGTTTTTCGGACTGTCCGTATTCACAAGAAATTTCACTTCCATCACGGTCCTCTCTTCCTCTTCTTGGTCAAACGCGAGTGGGTTATCATTCTCCTGACTCCCTAAACAGTCTTCAACGAATTCACCCCCAATACTCACCACGTCGCACTTTCTTAATGACTTGCATTGATCCATTCCGGAGCCTTCGACATCTTTCGCAGCTGCCTGATTACGGCTCCTTGTTGTCTTGAGAAAGTTCTCAACATCGATTTCATACGTATCGATGGTCTCAAACAGTTGGGTAAGCCCATAGTCCATATCCGGTTTGGAGGCCTCAAAGAGTTGGGCTAAGTCATAATCGTCATCATGTTCGATGGTCCCAAACAGTTGCGCCAACTCATAGCTAACATTTGGCTCGATGGTCTCAGAAAGTTGATCCAGCTCGTAGCTGATATCTCGCTCTACAGACTTAAACGCTGGGGTAAGCTCATAGCTTATGTCTGAGTCCCCTGCCCCCTTGCTATGAGTATCACCTGTCTTTTTCAAGCGTTCGCATTCTTCAATTATTGGTATCATTTCCTCTGTCATGGTTTGATCTACCCACGTTTCCTTAATAACCTTCGGTCCTTCGCCCCTTGGCGATACTTTGAATTCAAAGTTAGTATGATCGGCTCTATTTTCATCTGATTCCTCACTCACTTTCTTAGCACAGACTAGAGCTGCATCAGAATCTTCCTCGCAACTCTCGAACCGAATATTCGAAACCCCAACCGTCAGACTATCATTCGGGTCTGGGTCCTCCTCAAACCGGACACTCGATACCCAGAACTTTCCCTGCTCTGGCTCTTCCGCTGTCCTCGTTTCAATGTCAATATCCGTCTCCGTAGAAGCTCGAGAGAGTATATCTACCCCCTCATTCTCCTCCGTATACCGGTTCTCCTCAAACCTGATGCCCGGCATCCAAATCTCTCCCCGAACCACCTCCTGCGTTTTTCCTGCTTTAATGTCAATATTCATCTTCGTAGGAAGTTCGCATGATATATCTTTCTCGTCATTCGCACATTCGATCTTTCTTCCCTCGTTCAGCTCATCGGTTTTCTTAGGGTCTTTCGGCCGTCTGTCTTGAGGTCCTTGTTGTAAAAGAATCTTCAACGATTCCGCGCTCCTCTAAGTAGAGATATTCTTCATTTTCTTCACCCTTTCTCGTTCGGCCCTTAGGGCTTCTATCTCCTTGACCATTTCTCATCCTTCCCTATGTGATCTCCTTCGTTCTCCCTTTTCTTTTGTACTTCTCTAACGCCTATCTCGAAATCCCCTACCGTTGTTCTTCTTCCAGTTGTCACGGTTTCCTCCTTTCCATTCCCCACTGTCTCTACTTACTTTACTTTTGTCAGGCGGCATGAACTCTCTTCCATCCTCATCGCCGAATTGTTTTTCTGAATGACTTCCGGGTAATCCTTTTCCTAGTTTCTCCAACACTCCATGTAGATAAGCTTTGGCATCCAGTCCCTTAGTCTGCAAAGCCAATGCCTTCGTCTGAGCGAACGACAACCTTTTAGTGGGCGTGTTCTCCATAACAAACTCCCTTCTCTTGATAGGTAGAGTCCCAATGAATATACCGCATCGTTCTATCTCACCGAGAAACCCATTTTCTATCAATGGTTCAGATGCCGTCTCAAAGCGTCTCGCAAACGCCACTAACGTCTCTCCTTCCTCCTTCTTCATCTCCTTTAAGTCCTCGATCGAGTAGAAGATGTCGTCACATGCAAAGGCTCGAGACAATCGTTCTCTGAAAGTTGCCCACTTCCAATCCTCGGGTATAGCAGCACGCACGTCTTTGTCTAGTTTGAGATCGGTATGATTAATGAATCCCATTATCGCTTCCCGATCAGTCCATCCTGCTCTCAAGGCATAAACTTCCCAGTCGTTCAGGAATTTCGTTACCCGATGTCCCGTGAAACATAGAGGCAGACCGAAGTACGGTGGTTGGTAAAACAAAGGAATGCGCAACGGTCCTCACGCCATATCATATGGACTTGGTTTGCATGGTGGCTCCCATCGTCCTTTTCGCCAAGTCTCGCCCTCAGGGATTCCTACTCCGGTTGCCACCTTTACATAAGGAGGTCTGCTTTTAAATTCACTATCCCACTTTTCTCCTCCATCAGAATTCTCCACCGCCATCTTTCTCTCAGGAATATTAAGCTCACTCCTCATCTCCGAAAGATAAACCTTCTCTCTCCATAACTTCCCGGCGCTCCCTTTTCAACCCTCTATTAACCTTACTAATCAACAAAGAGATGGAAGGTTACTCTCTCAGACGCTAAGTAGCCCAACCCGACTGATGAGCTCATGGATCCCCACGACAGGCCTCCACTGGACCCGCCTATATCCCTGACGACGTCAACAGGCCTAGAAGAGACCCGCCCTCTGGCGTATCTCCTCCTACCCTCATGTCGAAAGAGAGGTTGATCCCATGTCGCCATCATCGCTGGCCTACCCATCCCGAGAGCAATCCCTTGACGCGAGCCGGCCAACTCGTGCGTCATAGGGTCGGACCGAAGTCACACGTTCACGGAACGGCGGTATCTCCCTCGTGCAATCCTATCCGGCACCATGTCTCTACTCGGCCCACCTCAGACATGGATTTACCCGGGACACTTTCCCCCGACACTGTGTAGTGTCCTAATCAGACCTCCCGCTAGCAATCGGATTAACTAGCCTGTCTATTTTCCCCAACTCCTTGCGATCCGGGGCGCTTCTCCCTTCCCCTTCCGTCCCTCCAGTTCTTCCCATGCTTACAATTTTCTCTCTTAGAATCAATATGTGGGTGGACTGAAACAAAGGGTAGGGAAAATCAGAATAACTTCTCTCGATCACAACGAAAACATCAGGACAGAAATGCATGAAAGACCGAGAGAAATGCAGGGAATCAGCAAAATCTTAAGATGCGGAAATCACAATCTCACCGGAAGACGTCAATCATGGTTGATGGGGTGCCGCTTGCCCGCTCGCGCCTATACTGTCCAGTGCCTCACTTCCACATCTCAATCACTTGCCCTCTAATTTCTCTCGTCCTGTCTGCAGTATCCCGCTCACATTGGTCTCCAGATCCTCTCACATCCCCGCGGTTACAGGCGGACCGTAGTCCCGAGAGGCAGCCATCCCTGGCAACGGCGTCACTGTCAACCGGTAGAACGGGTCTGCCGACACGCCAATCGAACCCTATACCTCGCGCCGTGTCTGTCACCCACGGGAGGGTCGATCGAGGCTCCTGTAACCTGCAAGAAATCAACCTCGTTTGTATCACCAAAATACGCTAACACCGCAATATAAGGCAGAAAACTGCTGACGACGAAACAATTTGTAGAAATGATCGAAATGAAAGTTTTGATTCAGTTCAAAATAGTATGATAGTTCGCACTGCGACCAGGCCCTGGGGCTCGCCCATAGCACGAGTCTGTAAAATCCGTCTGAGTCCCAACGGAACCCGGCCCCCGTCATGAAACAGACTTGATACACCAAATAGGCTCGACACTTGTCGGATAGGCGATGTCTTGGTTCACCCGATGCGCGACTAGGACCCGTCCTGGGTCTAGATCTGGTCTGATCTGGTCTAGTCCGGTCGGTTTGATCTTGTCTGATCTGGTCCGTCCGGGTCTGATACGGCCTGGCCGGGTCTGATCTGGTCTGTAGTGGTCTGGTCAAGTCTGTGTCTGTTCCGGGTCCAATCTGCGTTGGCCGGTCTAGTCCGGCCTGACCTGTTATGGCCTGCCAGTCCGGTCTGATCCGGTCTGATGCAGTCTGCTCTCGTGTGGTCTGTTCCCGCTCAGTTCGGTCTGAACCCGTCTGATGTAGTCTGGTCTGGTTCTGGTGTGATCCTGTCTAGTCTGGCCTGCCCTTCCGTCCGGTCTGTCCCGGGTCTGGTCTGATCTGGTTCGGTCTGAACTGAAGCGGTCTCGCCTGCTCTGGTCATGTATTGTCTAGTCTGATCTTTGTCTGATCTGGTCTGGCCCGGCCTGCTCTGGCTGGTCTAGTCTGTTCTGAGCCCGGTTTGGTCAGAAATGCTCTGGTCTAATCGGGTCTGGTCTAGCCCGGGTCTGATCTGGACCGGTCTGGTCTGTTCTGAGCCCGGTTTGGTCTGAAATGCTCTGGTCTAATCGGGCCTGGCCCGGGTCTGATCTGGACCGGTCTGGTCTGTTTTGAGCCCGGTCTGATCTGAACTGGTCCGGATCTGGTCTGATCCCGTCCAATCCGGTCAGGGCGAGCTTTTAAGTCGGACTGTGACTGCGCCCGTCCGCTGGCGCACTTTTCCTTCGTTCATCCGCCCTTAATTGAATCTCCTCACTTTGCCGTCCCGAGCACGGAGCGGAAATCACATTCTGCCCCCATGTATAGAGTCTGACACCTGCAATCAAGCTCAACAGGGTCTCCTTTTCCCGCCACTTCTTCCACCCGTTCCCTTGGCTGTGGTTTCGCGGCATGGTAGATAGGGACAGTGGGAATCTCGTTAATCCATTCATGCGCGTCACTAATTAGATGACGAGGCATTGGGTACCTGAAGAGAGTCATAGTTACTTCCGCCGATTACCCATACTTAGTTGAATCTCTCCTCTTTCACATCCAGAGCGTTGGGCAGATACCACACTGCGCCAGCACCCGTTGAGACCATCCCGCTGCCTTGTACGATCGGCTTATCCCCTCGGTTCCAAGCCTCTCTCTCTCTCTCTCTCTCTCTCTCTCTCTCTCTCTCTCTCTCTCTCTCTCTCTCTCTTGCGTGCGCGCGCGGGCGCACAGATCTCCGTTTCCTTTGTGTTGATCTCAGCTTCCGCGCGCTGCTTGTCCCGCCCGCGTGCTCGTCTCCCTCGCGGAGGAAATGAACCTGGTGTGAGATCCGGACCAGGTGCGTCTGCAGACTGCGTTCCCTTCTCTCTTACACAGCTCCGCTCACTTGCATCCGCGCGCAGCAGCTACCGACCTCGCACGCAGATCTAACCTCGCACGCAACTTACTCTCATCCGCGCGCGGCCTAGATCAGCTCGTCCTGCCTTTCCCGTCCGTGCGCAGCTTCGTATCCGCGCGCAACAGCTTTCCCGCGCATTGCAGATCTCCCCCGCACGGATCTTCCCGCGCGGCTCGTGTCCCGGGCGCAGCAGCTCTTCACGCGCCTCGTACGAGCTTTCCCCTTTTGTGCAACGGCTACCCCCCCCATACGGCTCTCCTCACACCGCGCAGCTTCCCTCGTAGCTGCTCCCTTCGTGCGGCTTACTTACCTCGCGCAACTTTGTTACCCCGCGCAGCTGTTCGCGCGGCCTCCATCCCCACTTGCGCGTTCCCGCGTTGCTTCTCTCTCTCTCTCTCTCTCTCTCTCTCTCTCTCTCTCGCGCGCGCGCGCGCGCGCAGCTCGTTTCCCCATGCGCTCGCTTCCCCCCTCATAAGCGGAACGAATTTGGAGCACTATCGCGACCAGGTGCAACTGCTGATCCACCTTTCTCCCTGCACGCAGCTAAGTCGAACTCGCGCAGCTCCTCCCATTCGTGCGCAAAAGTACGATCTTTCCCTCTCCCTATCTCCTCCTACTCTCTCTCTCTCCTTCCCCCTCTGCGTTGCAGCTCCTCCTCTCTTCGCGCAGCTCTGCTGCTTTGCGCAGCTTCCTCTCTCTCTCTCTCTCTCTCTCTCTCTCTCTCTCTCTCTCTCTCCATTCCCATTCGGTGCACACGAATCTCGTCCACCCTGAGGGCCAGGTTCACGCACACCCCTCAAGCTCTTCGTGCGCGTCAACCCGGGCAAACGATGTCCCGGTTCCGGTCCGATATGCGGGAGACCAGCACACCTCCCTCCCCTAGCCCGTGCGCAGTCCCCCAAAAAGAAACCCTGCTAGTGTAGACCTCGTGCACTTCAGGTGCACCACTGTACCTGTTCGCTCATGCCTTCCAAACGTTCCCCCGTCCAGGAACTTGTGCGCGAGGGGCCAGCACACTCCCGTAGGCCAGCCGGTCCGCCCTTCCCTTGCGCAAGTGAGAGTCCCCCCTTCCTTTGGGCCCAGTTGGACCTTTATACTTCGTTGGGCCCAACGCAGCGTGACTTCCGTGCCTCGGTGTGTCGAGAATCCGGAAATGTTGCAGCGCCCCGGTACCAATTCCCCACCGAGCCTGTACGCGGGCCCGTTTGGGCCTCCGAAAGGTTTTCAACAAAAGGAGCCTTTTCGTCGGGTACCGGGCTTTTTGCAGCGCCTTGGTACCGAAGCTCCTTCCAAACCTAAGGGCCCAATATGTGGTCCCCACCCACAAGTGGTAATGGCCTCGGTAGATAACCCCGTAGGCCCCCCTTCGAAATCCTTGGCCGACGGGTCCATTCCTGGGCCTTAGCCATGAGCCTCCTTTCGGTAGCGCCGAGGCCCGCCCAGAAAGCCGGTTCCCACCTTCCATCTATGCAGGGTGTTTCCGTAATTCGGTCGCTCGCGGTAACTTCGGAGGTTGCCACTGGTCGAGATGCCCGAGGCCTTGCGTTAAATGTCCGGCACCCCTTTTCCCCCGGCTTTATGCCGACCTTTAGAGCAAGCCTGGTCCCCGGCGGTCGTGCCTTTCGTCCCGAACCCTCGGGAACCTCCTCCGCTGTGGTAGTCTCTTTATGTCCGTCGGCGACTTACGTCCGGGCCCACTTCACAAAAGTATCGACTTTTAATGCTCGTGCCCCACCCAGACTGAGTGTCGTGGCCCGACCACTCGCACCGTTGATCCGTTGGCGAATTTCCCCATGACCCACCGAGTTTCTGTCTGGTCAAAACTATTAAATAGTGTCTTTGTCGCACGCCCTTGTAAAGGAAGTAAAGGGCGGCGTAAAGCTTGAGCCGCCCGACAACGGGATTCGCACGCCATCTTGTGGCACCGCGACTGGCGAACGACATTTCTGTCCATTTTTCATATCGCATTACAAAAATGCGAGACGATGTCTTCTCTAGAAGAGTCTCCACCGTTAGAGCACCTCAGTATATCAGGCCCACGCAGTGGGGCGCTAAGTTATCGCATCCAATCGATCATTCGAGCGGACAAAGATGTGGACGGGAATGGTAATC